GATAGCCCACCACCACCATGGTTAAAAAAATTCCTAGGGGAAACCCTGTGTTCTCCATTACTGGTGGGTTGTTTCATCCACTGGGCTTTAGTTTCTGTAAAGTCAACATTTGAATTGTATGAATTTGTATTTAGTTAGACAAACTGGGATATACAGGCAAGAACCTCAAGATTTATTACCTCTTTTGCATTTTCAACTTTCTTTTAATGAATTGTAAAACTTTACTGAGCACTACCCGTAGCATTTCAGTTATTTGTGTGGTAAAATGTGTTCATAATCCACAAAATGATTTTCTCTTGGATCCCTTTCGACTTGATTACATACATCGCTTTTGATAGCGTTGACAATCTGCTTTTGCCAAAGTCACCATGTAAGAAGCTGTTTTAAAGTCAGACTCCCCCCGTTTGAATTCATAACTGTGTCATGTTCTAGTTTGAGTAGCGCAGCATCAGAGGTGCAGAAGACGGAGGAGAGGAAGATGTGTGAAGATTCATAAAACTCCAAAAATCGCTGGCACAGAAACAGTCTCAGGGGTGTTAACTGTGGGATGAATCTTCTCCCACTAATTGGTATCATTTCTAAGCCACTGTGTTTTTTGGCAGAACCAAAATTACCTTGATAATTATAATTTTCAGTGGAGTTAGTCATTTGATAGTTTAAAGGCACATTATGCTGGATTTGCGTCTGTGTGTGTGTATTTTATCATGATTAATTCAGCTCAGCATTTGTCTTTTTCTGTCTGTTTCTCGCTCTCTTTATTTTTTTTATTTTTGTAGTTTATCCGAACCCTGGAGCACAGTAATGACTTTAATGCCAGGGCTAAGGTGTACTTTGCCTCCCTGCTGACCGTGGCTCTGCATGGGAAACTGGAATACTACACTGACATTATGAGAACCCTGTTGCTGGAACTGATGGAGGAGTACGTCCACAGCAAGAACCCCAAACTGATGCTGCGCAGGTGAGTGCACACACTTTCACCAGACAACACTCGAGTAAAAGGTGACCTGTAAAATCTAAACAAATACTGGCTGTAAAAGTGGACACAAACTTTCATACTCGATTTGTCAGAAAACTTTTTTTTCACAGGCCGTTAAATGTCCTCCTTCCGAAGCTTTATAATGAATCTCCCCATTTTTAAACTTTGGCACTGATCTCATCAGCCAGTTGAGGCGGACTGGGAATCATTTCAACGTGCAGTGGACTGTTTCATTCTGTTGCCATGTTTCCTGTTGAATTTTTTGCTCTCACTACTGCGGTCTGCTAAGAAAGCCAGACTGCTGCTCAGTCTATTCCAGTCCTCCACCTTCTGTTCATCCTTCTGTTTTTTCAGGACTTCCCAACAATCTGCTGGATGATTCTTCTTTTTAATTTTCCTATAACATTATAATGTTTCTTCTTTTCCTCTAAAATCGATTAAATTTTGATCAGAGCTAATTTTTGTGACATTTTCATGACATCAACTAAAATTCTGTTTTCACCTTCCAATTACACGATATTAAAGAACCAGCTTTATTAAAAGGAATTCAATGAGGATGACTTTCAGCTACTAATACACCAAATTAAACCCAGTATTAGTAAAATTACCTGTGCTATAGTCATTTTTGTGTTGGCTGTAATCAAGTAGCTGTTGAATTGGACTGTCTCCAAAAGTTAATGAATTCTAAATCCACCTTTTTTGTCTCATAAAAATGTATCCAGGTTGAAGAGATATTTTGCTAACGGGCCAACAGTGTTTGCTGTAACTGTTCTAGGCGAAGTTTTTAAAACAAATTTCACTTGATTAGTTGGTGCTCAGATTATATGTTGAGAAGAACTTTCAGCTACTACCACCTAATTTTAGCTCAATATTAGTAAAAATGAGAGATGAGCCATTTTTTAAATATTTAATAAGTTTAGCTTGGTTGGTTTTCTTGAAGTGAGTTGACTCTGAAAGTTAACCAGGTGTAGATGCACACCCAGTGATTACTCTTTGAGAGTTTCATTGAAATTCATTCAGTTTTATGAGATATTTTGCTAACAGACAAACAAAGACATGGGCAAAAACATTATTTTCTTTTCAGTGGCAGGCAGTAATTATGTATAATTAAACATTGTATCTTTGCCCCAACCTAAAACATCACTCTTAGCATGTTTTTTTTCTTTTGTTTGCTGTAATGATTATGTCACTGTCAACCCTTTCACTGGCTGCTGCCTCCCCTCCCTCAGCTGCACTCATTCATTCGAACAGTGGACTCACTCATCACTTGTGAGACAGGCCTGTGTGGTCGGGACTATCTGTTGGGCTGTGACTGGCTGTATTGCAAGCTCACAAAACTAATTGTCCCCCAGTGGAGAAGTTCATTATGTTGATTAGATCTTTGTGCAAACACAGCCCCCCCCCCCTCCCAAACCCCCTTTTACAAGACATCTAATTAGAGATGTTAAGAGTTAACAATGGGTGTCACCTGTCCATCAAGCATCAGCAGATTTGGATGAATAAATATTGAAACTGATGAGATGTGCGTAAAACACTGATTTGTCATGATATTTCTAAAAACGTTTATTAGAAATATTTTCTGATAAATGTTATTCCCAATCTTTTTTATTAATTTTATTTATTTATTTATTTATTTTATAAAATGAGAACAGTGCCTTTCTACATACTGTATAAATACCATGAAATGTTTTAAATTATATTATGAATTTAGGAACTATGATGTTGAATATTTAAATGTCTTTTTTTTATCTGATGAGGTTTCTACTTTAAAATTTTTTTATGTTTTTTGTTTTGTTTTTTTTAGGTCAGAGACAGTGGTGGAAAGGATGCTGTGTAACTGGATGTCAATCTGCCTTTACCAGTTTTTAAAGGTGACATGTTCTGACTTTTGCAACTTGAAATGCACTAAAATTAGCACAAGAGCTCAAGGTGCTGAGATTTCTAATTCACTCATGCGCGTGTAAATAAATATGGCAACAATGCCCACTAAGCTATCTTAAAGGAGACATCTTGTTTTTAAATCCTTCTTTTTCACATTTAAATCCTTCAGCTGGGGTTTTTATAAAGTGGAACTGCAATTCTTTGGTCTGAATTCCTCTTTACTCTAACTCCACAAGCCCCTCTTTCACCCCATTTCTGAGGTGTGTCTCAGATTAACTCATTTTGATGCTGTTCCTTTCTATCAAAGCAAGATGCTTCATGCTATGTTCCCCTCCAGCTTCCAGACCGGTTCATTCCAGTTTGATAGAGGGGATAACATCTATCTAGCACCACAGAAACTTTTAATTTAAAAAATGCTAACAATGGAAGACTTAGAAGAAGCGGTAAGCTGTAAGTCTAAATTTTATTTGGCAGTTCTGTGCAAATAATTTGACGTTCAGAAAGCATTAAAGAAAAAATGAGAGAACTGAACAGGTTGAAAAATATGACTCAAAAAGAATATGACGATATCTTTGCAGCACCTTGAAAGACTCCTAGCGACTCACAGTACACAACAAAATGTATTTACTGGCTAAAAAAGGGGATTTTGCACGAGATGTGCCCTTTAAGGAATACAGCGTTTTTCATAGAAATAATAATTATCTGTTTTGATGACTGTATGACATTAATTATTTTTAGGGTTTAAGCCAGTATCTCACTGGGTTGCAGTTGTTTGCAAATTACAGATTTCATTAACAAGGACATGCTCAACATAGTTGAAAATGTACTCTAAAAATGAAATGTTGGATTTACTTAACCATGTTATGTCAACTGGTTCCACTTAACTGAGTTGAGTAAATTCAAAGCAACATACTCATGTTCTTTGGTTAAAAAATAAACTGGTATATTGCTTTGAATTTACTCAACTCAATTAAGTGGAACCAGTTGACATAACATGGCTAAGTAAATCCAACATTTCTTTTTTTGGAGTGTTCTCGGGGGTTCTTAATTTCCATGCATGAGTTGCAGGGCCATGTAGTCTTGTTTCTTGAATTTTGAGCATTTTCAGGGAATTTGTAAAACCAAATTTGACAAGGTGGGCAATGAAATCAATCGTAGAGTGCACAAAACATTTTGCAAGTTGAGCATGTGAAAGTAGACTGATTTTTTTTAAAGTGCTCACTCAGAAAGGAGGGAGGAGAGAGAAAGAGGGAGAAAGCTCAGGAGCTATGTCGTTGGGGACTTCATGGCCCCAGTAGGGTCACCCAAAGGAAACAGGTCCTAGGTGAGGGATCAGACAAAGTGCAGCCCAAAAACCCCTATGATGAACACAATAAATGGATTAAGTGTTCCCTCGCCTGGACGCAGGTCACCGAGGCCCCACTCTGGAGCCAGGCTTGGAGGTGTGGCACAATGGCGAGCGCCTGGTGGCCGGGCTTTCACCCATGGAGCCCGGTCGGGCACAGCTAGAAGAGGAGACGTGGGTCCCCCTTCCCATGGGCTCACCACCTGTGGGAAGGGCCGTAGGGGTCGAGTGCAATGTGTGTTGGGCAGTGGTTGAAGGCGGGGACCTTGGCGGTCCGATCCTCAGCTACACAAACTGGCTTTAGGGACGTGGAATGTCACCCCTCTGGTGGGGAAGGAGCCTGAGCTGGTGTGTGAGGTTGAGAGGTTCCGACTAGATATAGTTGGACTCACCTCGACGCACCGCTCTGGCTCTGGAACCAGTCTCCTCGAGAGGGGTTGGACACTCTTCCACTCTGGAGTTGCCCATGCTAAGAGGCACTGAGCAGGAGTGGGCATACTTATTGCCCCCATCTCGGGTACGTTGGGGTTCACCCCTGTGAACGAGAGGGTAGCGTCCCTCCGCCTACAGGTGGGGAGACGGGTCCTGACTGTTGTTTGTGCCTATCACGAAGGTATTGACATTGACCTGGAGAGGCATGGTTGGGAGGAATGCCCCCCCGACCTGAACCCAAGCGGTTTTTTGTTATTGGACTTCTGTGCTTGTCATGGATTGTCCATAACGAGCACCATGTTCAAACATAAGGGTGTCCACATGTGCTCTTGGCACCAGGACACCCTAGGCTGCAGTTCAATTATCAACTTTGTTGTCGTTTCATCTGATCTGCGGCCGCATGTTTTGGACACACAGGTGAAGAGAGGGGCAGAGCTGTCAACTCACCACTATCTTGTGGTGAGTTGGCTCCGTTGGTGGGGGAGGATGCCGGTCAGACCTGGCAGACCCAAACGTATAGTGAGGGTCTGCTGAGAACGTCTGTCAGAGTCTCCTGTCAGACGGAGCTTCAACTCACACCTCCGGGGGAATTTCTAACACGTTCCAGGGGAGGTGGGGGACATTGAGTCTGAGTGGGCCATGTTCCGTGTCTCCATTGTCGAGGTGGTTTACCTGAGCTGTGACCATAAGGTTGTTGGTGCCTGTCTTGGCGACAACCCTCGAACTCGCTGGTGGACACCGGCGGTGAGGGATGCTGTCAGGCTGAAGAAGGAGTCCTATTGGGTCTTGGCCTGTGGGACTCTGGAAGCAGCCGATAGGTGTCGGCAGTCCAAGCGTATTGCAGCTCGAGTGGTCGCGGAGGCAAAAACTCGGGCGTGGGAGGAGTTTGGAAAGGCCATGGAAAAAGACTTCCGTACGGCTTCGAGGCAATTCTGGTCCACCATCCGGCGTCTCGGGGGGAAGTGGGGGAGCGGTTCGCCACCAACACTATTTATGGTGGGGATGGTGCGCTGCTGACCTCAACTCAGGATGTTGTGGGTCGGTGGGCGGAATACTTTGAAGACCTCAATCCTACCGACACGTCTTCCCATGAGGAAGCAGAGCCTGAGGATCCTGGATCGGACTCTCCAATCTTTGGTGCCAAGGTCACCGAGTTGGTTAAAAAGCTCCTTGGTGGCAGGGCACTGGGGGTGGATGAGATTCGCCCAGAGTTCCTAATGGCTCTGGATGTTGTGGGATTGCATTGGTTGATGCGACTCTACAAAATTGCGTGGACATTGGGGGCAGTTCCCCTGGATTGGCAGACCGGGATGGTGGTCCCCCTATTTAAAAAGGGGGACCGCAGAGTGTGTTCCAACTAAAGGAGGATCACACTTCTGAGCCTCCCTGGTAAGGTCTATTCAGGGGTCCTGGAGAGGAGGGTCCATCGGATAGTCTAATCTCGGATTCAGGAAGAGCAGTGTGGTTTTTGTCCTGGTCTTGGAACAGTGGACCAGCTCTACACCCTCAGCACGGTCCTGGAGGGTGCATGGGAGTTTGCCCAACCAGTCTACATGTGTTTTATGGACTTGGAGAAGGCGTTCAACCTTGTACCTCGGGGACTCCTGTGGGGGGTACTCCCGGAGTATGGGATACCAGGCCCATTGACATGGGCTGTTAGGTCCCTGTTTGACCGGTGCCAGAGCTTGGTTCACATTGCTGGTAGTGAGTCGGACTCATTTGCGGTGAGAGTTGGACTCCGCCATGGTTGCTCTTTGTAACCAATTCTGTTCATAACTTTTATGGACAGAATTTCTAGGCGCAGCCAAGGCATTGAGGGGATCCTTTTTGGTGACCTTAGGATCGCATCTCTGCTTTTTGCGGATGATGTGGTCCTATTGGCCTCATCAGATCGTGATCTCCAGCTCTCGCTGGAGCAGTTCGCAGCCGATCCGGGATGGGGATCAGTGTCTCCAAATCTGAGACCATAGTCTTGAGCTGGAAACCGGTAGCGTGCTGCCTCCGGGTCTGGGAGGAGGTCCTGCCCCAAGTGGAGCAGTTTAAGTATCTTGGGGTCTTGTTCATGAATGAGGGAAGAATGGAGCGGGAGATAGACAGGTGGATTGCTGCTGCGTCTGCAGTGATGCGGGCGCTGTACCAGTCTGTAGTGGTGAATCGGGAGCTGAGCCAGAAGGCAAAGCTCTCCGTTTACTGGTTGGTCTACGTTCCTACCCTCATCTATGGTCACAAACTTTGGGTAGTGACTGAAAGAACGAGATCGCAGATACAAGCGGCCGAAATGAGTTTCATTCGCACGGTGTCTGGGCTCTCCCTTAGAGATAAGGTGAGAAGCTCAGTCATCCGAGAGGGACTCAGAGTAGAGCTGTGGCTCCTCCATGTTGAGAGAAGCCAGTGGAGGTGGCTCGGGCATCCGGTTAGGATGCCTCCTGGACGCCTCCCTGGTGAGGTTTTCCTCCCGGCATGTCCCACTGGAAAGAGGCCCAGAGGAAGACCCAGGACACGCTGGAGGGACTATGTTTCTCGGCTGGCCTGGGAACGCCTTGGGATTCCCCCGGACGAGCTGGCCCTAGTGACTGAGGAGAGGGAAGTCTGGGTCTCTCTTCTTGGGCTGCTGCCCCCGCGACCCGATTCCGGATAAGCGGTAGAAAATGGATGGACAGACGGATGCTGAGAAAGTGATTGCACAAGGCAGTTTAATGTAAATTAAAGAGGATTTCTTTGAGGATTTGGGTTTGGATGCAAACACTCAGAATTTAGTGAAAAGAACATTTGCTGCTTTTTTCAGTTTTCTCACAATTTTGAGTCTCCAACTAGTCTCCTACTTATTTTATTTAAAGTCGATTTCTACATTGAATAAACTCGATTGCTAAATCCAATAATCTGCATCACAATGAGCTTTAACACTTAAGAGTTGCTCGTTGATGGATTGCCTTGTTTCACTTTGGTGCTCCTGTAGAAGGTGTGAGTGTGTTTACAATCCGAGCTGTTTATCACAACATCGAGGTTCCTGGCAACATGAGAGGCAACTTTAAAATTGCTTTATGTCTTCCTGTGTGTGTTCTAGGACTCTGCAGGCGAGCCCTTGTACAAACTGTTCCGAGCCATCAAGCACCAGATTGAAAAAGGGCCGGTGGACGTGAGAGTGAAGAAAGCCAAATACACCCTGAACGACACGGGCTTGTTGGGCGATGATGTGGAGTACTCAGTCCTGGTGAGCTGCACAAACACACAAACCACACATAAAGACAAATCCAGGACCTCCACCCCGAAAACTGCACATACTAGCTTTTTTTTTCATGGCATCGTTTTTTGTATGGTGAGTAACAAAACATACATACATGCTCTCCTATACACAGGAAAGAAGGAAACCTTGAGGCGACACACTTTGTGTGACATTTTTATTTTCAAGCGTCTTGTGTTTTCAGAGCAAAACCGACTCAGGCGACACGTTCCAATATAGCAGCGAAATGTGTGGCTCGGGTGAACGAACTACAAGTCGGAACAAGAGGAGAGTACATCCCCCACCCTCGACCTTGGCCACCCGCACATGCTCTGAATCCGTTCGGACGGCTTACTGCGAGTCAGAGAAAAGCGTACGCCTTTCATTTTGATGCCGCGTTTCAGTACCGGCAGCTAATCCGAACGCAGCTGTTTTCTGTTAGAGTCGGCACAAACAAAGAGACCCGTGGGTAATGGCTTTGTCGAGGACAATTATCAAATTAAGCTGAATTACACGTCTCCTGTAGTGATGGATCGTCTTGTGTGATTGAATTACACTGGGAGTAGGGGAGTGGGGGGGGAAAAGAAGCGTAACAAGCCGGGTTCATAGGCAAATGCTGTGTTCACAACTGGCTTTATTCACAGTGTGAGATCCATATGTACTTCAAATGCAGATGAGCTCATGAGGGTCCTGTTGTGGTGGGCTTTCCCTGCCCCACATTTGAGTCTGTGGAGTGGTCACTTAATTCTGACTGAGCTAACACACTGTTAAAGGTGAGGTGGGTCAGTTTCCTCCTGCTGAGCCTCGGTCATTAGCTGGCCAAGGTGACGAGAGTCGTGTCAGGTGTCAGTGCAGCATGTGTGTTGTTATGTGCTTCGACAAGCCCAGTTGCCATAACAACAAGCCCCCCATGGAGCTCAGCACGCGTTGATGGCTGGCTGCTCTGGACATGTGTGGTGATTCTATTTTTTTTCTTGTGCATGGTTTTTAATCTGAGTCTAGCTGCACATGTATTCACCGGCATGTTCTCGGTGTGTGTGTGTGTGTGTGTGTGTGTGTGTGTGTGTGTGTGTGTGTGTGTGTGTGTGTGTGTGTGTGTGTGCTCTGACCTGCACAGGGCTTTGTTTGACCTCGTTGCTTCCAGGGGAGTTGAGTCCAGAGGCCTGCTGGAGGAGGAACTGTCTGGCTGCCTGGAGTGCCTACCAGAGACAGGGAGRGAAGAAAAAATAAAGGGGTAATCAGACATTCATCGTTGCACTCACGAGACATTTTTTCTTTTTCCAATTTATTAAAAACATGATTGTTTTTAAGTTGCACCTTATTTTGCTAACTAAAAGAAAGTGTGCACGGTTCGTTCTTCAGTTTCAGACTCTCGTTAACCGGTCGAACACACACGAGAGCGCGACTCCTTCTGACTAAATGTGTCTAAATTTGCTTCATTCAAATCCCTCTTTGATTCTGAATTCTTCTCTCTTTTTTTTTGCTCTTCTGTATCCCCACCCACTCCTTAACTCTATTGCCACCTCCTCATCGTCCTCTCTTCGCGGAGGAGGGTGCAAAGTGGGTTTTCTAGATTCTCCGAGGCAGAAGTATGTCAGCCTGCCTTCGTGTTTGTGTTGTCACAGAGACGTAGAAACCATTTGCGCCGATGAGACCCGAAGAGCTGTGATTAACTACGACCCACCTTCTTGTTCATCTCCCCCACCACCAGCACCACTTCTCCCCAGTCTGCCCTCCAGTTCTGTCCATCCAAACCAGCTGTGTTTCCATACATCGCTTTGCCCTTTGGTTTTGCCAGTTTATCCCTCCAATACTGCAACCTAAACCATTCCTCTTCTGTTCCCATACCTTCCTTCTCTCTGTGTTTTTGTCAAATTCTCATCCTCTAACTTTCTGTGTTGCTTTTTATTTTGCTAAAAGGCAAATTTCTCTACAAGCAGAGCAAATCAGGTCATGAGCAGCRGGTCTATTTTTGTTGGAATGTTTAAGATGACCCCAAAAACTAAATATGAAAACACCCTTCTCCCAACACAAAAGAGTCACTTTTCGCTTACAGTAAAATTACACACACATACACGCACGCACGCACGCACGCACGCACGCACACACACACACACACACACGCACACACAAAATGCAGGCACAACCTTATGACAGAGAGGGTTACAGAGGGGAGACAGCAGGATGCACATTTGCTTCCTCTGACTCAAAAGGGAAAGGTTCCTTAGTAAATATTGATTTATGAAAGTCCCTGTGTGTGTTTGTGTGAGTGTGTGTGTGGGTGAGGGTGGAGGGTGTTTGTGTGTGTATGTGTGCAAATTAACGGTCAGATCGAGGGCTTCTTTTTTTTTATCATGGAAGCTCTTACTCAACCAAAAGAAATCTGCAAGAGTCTGTCATGTCACAACCACGAGCCACTGTAAAACAGAGCAGTTCACTCACATCGAACACCACTTAATGTCAAACAAATAAATTAAAARACGAGGCGCATTTGATAGTTTAAAGGTTTTAAATAAAAAAGGACGGATAGGACATATTAGACTGAAACAGAGAGAGAAAGAGAGAGAAGTTGTGTGCAGTCAGAGTGATGAAAACCAGCTGTATGGAGCACACTTGCTACTTTCGCTCAGAGCTTAATTAAAACATACAGAAGAGCGTGCCTACACACACACACACACACACACACACACACACACACACACAAATTTTAACACAAAAATCTTGGGAACCCCCCCTCCTCCCTCTCTCTCTTTACCAGTTTGACCTCAGCATTAAATCAGGCACAAACATACACACAGACAAACACAACCGCCCAGTTTGTTGGCATGTGGTGTGAATTACTCCTTGAACACCCTGTCTGCCCAAAACCGAGCGTGCGTGTGTGTGTGTCTGTGTGTGTGAGTGCATGAGTGTATGTTGGCAGGAGTTGAGCAGGCATGTCTGGCAACAATAAGGGACAATTCCACCCAAATTACCACCCTGATTACCACTATATTAAAGAGCCATTTATGGCTTTCATAAACGCTACGACCGAGCAGAGGTGATGCCTGTCTCCTCTCCTCAGCTCGGGTCAATAGATGGGTGTGTATATTTGAAAGACAAAACACGTGAAAAAATAGAAATATGTGTATTTTTTTTAAAAAAAGTCTACTTGCTCACATAATAATGGCACAAATTGGTGAACTTTACTTTTGTAAAGAATAAGTCTTAAAGCTGTTATTACACATGAAAATCATCCTGGTTTCACAATACTCCACAGAGGATATTTTCCTGAAATGAAACTGTAGTGTGATGACAACGTTGTGCTGTGTCCTTAAAGGTAATCATTAAACTAAATGATCTTTTGTTATAAGTTTGGTCATAAAAAAAACATTTCCTGCATCTTACTGAATCACAGATGATCACACAAACAGTTGCTCCACTTTCCTTTATATAACTTCAGACTTAAAAGTTTAGTTTAATCTTTTGAAGAAAATCACAAGTTATTCATAAAAAATACACTGATCCCATTTGTTTGTACAGAACAACAGAGGTTGGCTGAAAACCTGACAATTTTTTTTAACATCTAAAGGTGAAAAAAAAAAAAAACCTTACTTGTCAGTCATAGCACTTATATGAGGTGTACTGCAAAAATATCTTAAGGTTTTTCTTCATTCAATTACTTTTAGTTAAACAACAACAAAAGAGGATATTATTGCCTTTAATTCTTAATATTTGCATTTATGTAARATGACGTGACTACTGATGAGATTTCAGCTTCTTGAAGAGAGTCCCATTTTTATGTGCAACATTTTCTTACTTTGTGCAACTTCAAATAATGGTAAAAGAACAGGTGTAAATGCACCATATGGGTAAATGGGAGAGACTAAAACTTTTTATTAGATAAATTACTTGTTCATAAATTTGTTTCTTTCTAATTTAAATTGGGCATTTAAATACAACAGTCACAGGGAACAGCTCTGTAACTGAGCTGTCAAATCTTCTTTTTCTTTCTTTCTTTCTTTCTTTCTTTCTTTCTTTCTTTCTTTCTTTCTTTCTTTCTTTCTTTCTTTCTTTCTTTCTTTCTTTCTTTCATATAAAGTATGGGTCTCCCAATACCAATTTTTCTCAAACTGAGTACAAGTACTTCAGTTTGGGTGTTTGCAAATAGAAAGTATCAATGCAGAGTCCATACAGAGTTAGAACCTAAACAATACAATGACTATTAAATGTATTTTTATTTAGAACAAGGTGACTCTCTTTCCTTATAGGCTAACAGCCACTCTGACTGGATCAAATCAAATATACAGATACAKACTGTTGAAGCTTTTAAAYRWATAAAAGTAACAAATACRATTTTCTTTCAACTTGTACACATTTCCTAAACATAGAAATGACTTTTTTTTTCACTTAAAATGTAAACTGTAACACATTCAGTGGAGTATTATCAGCATCTCAGTATCAGTACTGGTATCTGTATTGGTTTTGAGTATCGGGGCATTTTGGAYGAGTACAAGTACTTGTAAAAACACTGGTAACGGGACACCACTGGTTTAGGGAAAACCTCAATGTAAAGATAGGTTCATACATCGTCTAATAGTATATTTGTTGTGCATCATTCCTTGTAAATTTCAAATAATTTACTAAGTAAAACTGTTTGTGAGTTAAAAGTGAAATTGATATAAAAAACTGAGTTAACCCTTGTAG